GCGGTGTTTTACGTTTCCTCAGCAGCTTCCACCCACAGAGCATCAGGATGCGGGAAAAAAAAGAGATGGGATCATTCCCAGCTGGTGGAGTTCCCTCCACTTAGTTACTGTTTGAGGGATGCAGCTGAAGGCCATGCTTCTGTGCAGCAATGGCAATGGCAATGCCAACAGGTCCACTATGGGAACCTGCCTATCCCTCCACTTCCCGACCATATTGTACCAGGTGCTTGCAGAAATTCAAGGAGCAAGTTTTTGTACTGGAGCAAGAGGCTTTGTCACTTCTTTTACCTCCAGCAGAAGTCAGGTACAACTCCCCTGGCAGCAATGCTGTCTCAGGATGGAGGAGGTCAGTCTCCCTTCCAAAAGGGCTGGTATAGATGTATTTCCAGAAGATGCTTTATGTAAAACACAAAGAACTCAGGTCTGATATAAAGGAGTCGATTTTAGATCTAAGTTCTTTCACTGTTCAGCCACAGAACCCCTGTACAGTCTTGGGGAAATCAGGTCAAATTTCTTTTAACCAGCTCCCTGTTGGAAAAAAAACCAGATAATGGCCCTTCTTTTTTCCACCCCTTTTATGTGCTGTCACCAGAACAAGGACACAGCCTGAGAACAGCCCGCTGAGCACCCACTAACGCAGCAAAGCCCACCTCTGCCATCATGGAGAACCTGGTCCTGGGGGGCTTCCCTTCTCAAAGGCCACAGCTATTGGGGCAGTGCCTGTAACAAGTGGGTCCCAACCTCATCCAGGATCTCAAGGGGCCTGAGCAGGGAGACAGCCTTACCATTTCACAGGACGTCCCCTCTGTGGGCTGATAGTTAGAGGTCCCTCTGTTCACCACTGCCAGGAAGAAGACAACGTACAGTTTCATGGTTCTGTGGGTAAAAGTAATTTTGGTTAGATTTCGGATGCGACACAATGGTCAACGCATGTGAAAACTGGCACCAAATCATTGTCTGACATGGAGAAGCACATACTCAGTGAAATAAATTAACCCATCTCTGAGCTTACAGGACTTACGGCCTACCCCTGCATCCCTTTGAGCCTGGTGGGAAAAAGAGATTTATATGAGGACTTGAAAGGAAGGTCCAAGGCATTTCATGGGATTGCCCCGGTGTGATTTCAGCTACTACCTAGGTGACACCCAGACCACCCCATGAAGTCCAGATGCTCAAGATGGGCAATGCGTCTGGCACCATGGAGAAAGGCAAACATTAAAGACCAAGTTACCTTCACTCTCCCCATATAGGTGGCTCAGGTACTTTCAGCTGGGCTGGAGTTTTGGGGTGTGTGTCCTGAGCAAAGAGAATGGGTGCCACTCAGAAACAACAAGCACCGGGAGCAGTTTCCTTTTCTATCCACAACGTTTTCCACTCCTCTCATCCCAGAGTGTCAAAGAGCTTTTACACACCCATCCAGATTTGTTGAGTTAATATAAACAGCTTAAAGAATGGACTGAGAACTTTTTGTCCAAATGTTAGCTTTCCATTTTGTACATCCCAGGGATGGGCAGGCTTTTAAATACATTTGAAAGCAGATGTCTTACAAAGAGACAGATATAAAATTGAATGGTTTTGCATGAAACAAAGGATTCATCAGAGTTTAACTGTTTGGAAAGTGCTCCAGAAAAAAGAATATAGAAATAACAGCAAAAGGAGCAAACAACACTGGGAAGCCTGTCACTGGGCAATGGGAGAAACATGCAAATGAAGCCAAGGGAGAGCATTTGCCCTTCACACGGCTTGTTTCTAAATGGACACTAATGAGGCCTCTGGCTGTGGTCACCAATGTGATGGTGAGCTCCAGCTGCCACTTCAGTTCTAAATGGACACTAATGAGGCCTCTGGCTGTGGTCACCAATGTGATGGTGAGCTCCAGCTGCCACTTCACGAGAGCCTCTGTTGCAAACATGCCTGTACTTGTATGGCTTCTTGCAGGCAGATCTGAGCTGGTCCTGCCCGCATCCAGAGCCGGTGAGACACATGCGAGCTCCCAGCTGGAAGCCATGCAGCACTGCTCTTAAGTCTTTCCAGGAGCAAGCCTGCATCTGGCAAGCTCCAAACGCCAATCCCATGCACATGTGCCGCCAAAAAAACGGCATCAATGTACCGTTACTCAGCAGCTTCCACCCACAGAGCATCAGGATGCTGGAAAAAAAAGAGATGGGATCATTCCCAGCTGGTGGAGTTCCCTCCACTTAGTTACTGTTTGAGGGATGCAGCTGAAGGCCATGCTTCTGTGCAGCAATGGCAATGGCAATGCCAACAGGTCCACTATGGGAACCTGCCTATCCCTCCACTTCCCGACCAGAGAATAGAGTTGTGTACTAGGAATAGAGACACTGGACAGGCTTAGGCCACAGCTACTCTGTTTTCAGATTGTACATTCCTTCCAATTCAGGGAAACAACAAGTGATGGATGATGATCTGGGTTTCCAAGGTGAAAGAGCTTGGAGTTTGTCTTTGGGGCTCAGCAGCAGGATCAGAAGTCTGTTTCCCCCCTCTAAAACAAGATCAAGGATGTTCATTCTTGACCTTAAATTATTGTTTCAAAATACACTGAAATCATCCTATGGAAGGAGGAATTGCTGATACCACCATCTATAATGTCTCTGTTGTCTCCCCTCTGCTCCTCATTCATAGAATCATAGAATCATAGAATCACTTTGATTGGAAAAGACCTTTGAGATCATCGAGTCCAACTGTTAACCTAACCCTGACATCCCACCACTAAACCCTGTCCCTAAGCACCTCATCTATCCTTCTTTTAAATACCTCCAGGGATGGGGGCTCGACCACCTCCCTGGGCAGCCCATTCCAGAGCCTGACAACCCTTTCGGTGAAGAAGTTTTTCCTAATGTCTAGCCTAAACCTGCCCTGGTGCACAGGGAAGAAGTTTTTCCTAATATCTAGCCTAACCCTGCCCTGGCGCAGCTTCAAACCATTCCCCCTCGTCCTATCATCCATTACCAGGGAGAAGAGGCCGACCCCCACCTCCCTACAGCCTCCTTTCAGGCAGCTGTAGAGGGCGATCAGGTCTCCCCTCAGCCTCCTCTTCTCCAGACTAAACACCCCCAGTTCCCTCAGCCGTTCCTCGTATGACTTGTGCTCCAGACCCCTCACCAGCTTGGTTGCTCTCCTCTGGACATGTTCCAGCAAGGCAACATCTTTCTTGTAGTGAGGGGCCCAAAACTGAACACAGGATTCAAGGTGCGGCCTCACCAGCACCGAGTACAGGGGCACGATCACTTCCCTACTCCTGCTGGTCACACTATTCCTGATACAGGCCAGGATGCCATTGGCCTTCTTGGCCACCTGGGCACACTGCTGGCTCATATTCCCCAGGCTTAGAGGAGTGGGTGCCTCTGCTAAGGAGGAGAAAATTAATTTTATCATTTGGGTATTAGTTTGCTGGAACTGAGAGAAAAGACAAATGTGCCAATGATTACAAGGCTTTACTCAGAGCCTGCAAATGGAAATTGTTTCTATTTAAATCCAATGAATTAAGCTGATGAAATCTTCATGGATATCGCCCACAACAGGGCACCACCCTGATGGACAGCGTGCATCCCATGCGCTCTGCAAAGTCTTCTCTTGTCACACTGCCAGTTCACAAAATGGTCCCTTTGCTTCTTGAGTGATAAAACTGACACAAACTGGGGTCTTAACATGCCTTTGACAATTCCTAAATTGCAAGTTTATAAAGCAACAGGGGAATTGATATATTTGAACACAAAAAAATTGATTTAATGGCTTGCTGTGTAAGGCAGCTCTGTAGTAAGCAAGGGCGCTGTC